TTTTTTTTTTTTTTTGTAATCCGCTGGGGTGCTTTTAAAGGGAATCTATGACTACTGCAAGTATTTATTCTTTTACAGGGGGCTTAAGCAAATGGAAGGAACCCAAAGTCTTTGTTTGTCGCCGACGAGTTTGAGAAACGGCAGGAGCTCGCGAAGCAGCAGAAGGACTTTGAGAAGCTGCAAAAGCAGGCGGGCGAGGCTGGCATCGCGGCCCGGCGTGAGAGTTGGGAGGGAGGTGACGGCTGAAAGGTGCGAAGAACGGTTCCCTTGTGCGGAACCTGGATGTTCGATTCGCCAAGTTAGTAAGTGCATGGTTAGCCACTTGTTATAACCCGCTAACAAGATATGAGAGCAGGAAAGCCTTGAAGATGCGAGCTACCACTTCCAAGTTAAGAGTCATCTTGGAAGATTCTCGGATCTAGGCACAGATGGCGAACCGATTCTGTACGATGTATTCGATAGCTGTCTTTGCGCATTTCACTTATTCCGCTCCACAGATGGAAACGTTGTTGACCACGTGTCACGCCTCGACAGGTCGTTCGACCGATCCTATGCTTCCTGCGGCTGAAAGTGTTGCTGGCTGTGTAGTGCACACATTCACGCTTTGGGGATTTCCTGGAATGCGTATTTGGTGGTTAGATCAACTATTTTGCATATAAATTTGCATGGGTTCCGCATGGAGAGCACAAAACACACAGTATGACACTATGGAATGTAGAATGCTGTTTCTTTTGAAATGGACATGCTTCATTCAGTGAAGATGTCAGTATTCTTGCGGTGTGTGTGTGTCCGCCACCCTCACTCGCTCCGGAGATATATTGATCACTATAGTGTGATTGATTGATTAACTCGGGTCAGACCCCATTCCCCCCAAACTCAGGACGCAGAAAGCTTAAGCCCTCGCACAGCGCGGAACTTTGCCCCCACTGAGCTGCGCACCAACCAAGGTGCGTGCCAGCCCTTTGGCCTCCCAGCCCTCCATCCCTCCAGTCCAGCTTCCAGCCCTCCAGGGAGGCATGCTCACCTTATTGGTTGGCACAGGATGTAAAGCACCTTATTGGAGATCCTCAATCTGAATTCATAGAAAAGCCCCTGGCTGAATTCTCCTTTCAGACAGAATGTACTTTATTGGTTGGCGGAAGCCGCTGAGGCAGTTAAGGCGAGCCCGTAGAGTTCGTTGCGCAGCGCATGTGGCTGGCGCACCGGTGCTTTACCGGCGGATGTTTCAGTGATGTTTCTGTTCGTCCTTTGCGCGTGACAGAGCCTGGACAATTAGGTCAACATGGGTGCATCTTCGTCGTTTGCGTTGAGTTTCTCTTTGTTGGTTGGTGACCCCCATTCCCGAGCCTTTCCCAGAAAACCATACCTTCTCAATGAAAGAAACAACACGGGAACATGAAGAGGGCACGATGGTTCCGGGAAAGCATTGTGCCCAATTTTACGAGAGGTGCCTCATTTTTGCGACGTGGTTTTTCCAGGGTCACAGTGCCTTCTCATTCTTTTGAGAAGGCACCCTTTTCGGGGGGGGGGGGGGGGCCCTCAAAATTTCACGATCAAGGGCTACGAAACCCGAGCTTTGGCTGTTTTACAGGCATGTCCTGATGACCCTTTTGTGTTTATGTTTGTTCCCGAAACTTGCCAGTGTTTCATTGTATGGGAGGTCATAAACACACATGCACGAGGCATATCCAAACGCTACGGCGTTTGGCTCCTGATCCGGATCCCGAGCAGGCGTAGCGAGGATAAAGGGACCATACGTGTCGCCATTGATACTCGCATTCAGTAATTAATCTGTGCTTTTCGACACTACGCCTTTACACGCCTTACAATTTCTTTGTTTATCTGGGAGTGCTTCTGTGCGTCACTGCAACCTGGATCATTGTCTACACATGCATTTTCATACAAGGAGCGGTATCGCCCCTCACCACCCCGTGCAGGGAATACCCACGAGACTCTCTGGAGCATAGGTCCTGGCATAGGTGTCCTTTTTAGTTGTTTTGGTAGAAAAATGGATGGCCCTGGTTTACCTGGTGGTTTAATCGTCCACCAGACCCATCTATTTCCCCTAAAAGCACACCTATGGAGCCCAGCCCAGGAAGCCTTCCTCAAGAAGATGCGGAGTGAGGTTGCTGACATGGAGAAGCAGCTCCAGTAGGGCCGTAGAGCCGCGGGTCCGAGGGCAAAGCAGAGAGCACAGCACCGGAAGAAGCTGCGTGTTGCCTGGCGAGCCTTCACAAAGGGGGCTAGTGGAACTCCCTGCGGGTTTTCGGTGCGCTGCTCATGTCTTTTACAAACCGCCATCGTACGGGCGAAGGGGCCCCGAATTTCATATGTCCGGTTTTCCACAAGGGGGAAAATAAACGGACAAACCGACACTGGACTGGCACATGAACCCATCTCACCGCCCAATGGTAGCGCCGACTTGTACAGGAAAGCAGAACGCGAAAAAGACGCTGAGGTTGCAACAAGCGGCGTGGTCGGAAGGGAGTGTTTGGTGGCCATTGCTGGACTACATGTGACCCACACAGTTCCTTGGTACTATTGTCTACGGAAGTATTTCGCAATGGCCCTTGGATGCACCTGGAAGGGGCGAACCCAAAAGCTAGCTGCATGGGCGGGGAGTCCTCGTATGGGTTTGGAGCAACATCGGGGAGCAAGCGCCTCTTCGCAAATCTGGTAGTTTCATTGGGCATCTCGATGTGTCAAGTGGCAGTCAGGAGGCATGGCCTTTACACCTTTTTGGAGGCAGGAGCAGTGTTGCACAAGGGGATTAAGCACACTTGTGAACACAATGTGAGGACGCAATGCTAAAGCAGAAACTTGCAATTTGCCGTATTTGGTGAGTTTGTTTTGTTGCAGCGTGCGGTGACTCCAGCACACAACTGCTTTATAAAGGCCTTTGGTGGACCAGACGCGGCAGATAAACCAATCTGCTCAAACTGCAGCCTCACCTTGACCGAACAACAACCACACACGTTGCGTTGAGATGTTGGTAGTTATGCCTTGCATTGTTTATGATATGTTTATTATTATAATTATGCACGCGCACGCGTGGACATGCACAGACACGGCAAGGCAGAGCTGGGTCCGCTGGCAGTTCAACACAAGGCCATCCTTTGGGTGGAGAGGCACCGGGGCTTACGCCAATTGCAGCTTGGCTGCGTGCGGGTGTTTCAGACAGCATTAGGTTATGTTTCTACAGTTTATGTTGGCATAGTCAGATTGCCGGTGCAGCTGCACTACGCACGTTGTAGTTGTGGCACTGCGCTTGTTTGTGGCGGAGTGTTTGCCTAAAATCTTTGGCACGCTAGTTGTTGCGGAATGTCCTTGTTGTGCCCAACCACCTGGGCAAGCATGAAACAAAATCAATTCTGATTCGCAAAGTCTGCTGAGAGATGTAACTTTGATTTGTGTATAAATCGCCCTAAGCCATCCGAGGCTGGCAAAATGCAGCTTTCTCAAAAGCGGCCCCTTGAAAAGGTTGGTGTCCGTTTGGTTTCCCTCAAAAACAAAAAAACACGGGCGGTTTTGAGACATGCCCTGCAGGCCCAGGCGCGTCCATCGGGTGCGCCGGGACCCTCAGCTACTTAGCACGGGCGAAGCTGCGTCCGTCGCCCGTCATCCGCACACATCCGGTGCTTGGTTTTGGAGGACGTCCAGTTGGAGAACATGGCAGATGTTGGATGTTGCCTCTGGCGAACCTTTGAGCAGAGCTTTGGAACCGGGAGTCATGCAACATATGGAGGAGGGCGACGGGCTGAGCCCTGCAGGCGTGCATTGTAGACTGACACCCTGGCGCGTTTTCACGAGAATAGATGAGATGCCGTTGCTCCGTGCTCATGGCTGAACCCACGGCCGGGTATTTCAGCCGGTCTCAGAGTTCAGTGGCTCCCGGTTTCCGGGCATCCACGACAGCACCATGGGGTCAAGACTCCAGTTGCGACCTGGTTGGATGCCCAAACCCTTGGTGCGCAGAAGCAGCTCCGGCATGTCTCAAAAGATGGACTTCCTTGAGAATGATGACCCTTTTGAATGGGCCCTTCAACATCAATCCCGAACACGAAGGCAGACGGTAGCAGTTGTTCCTGGTGATGCTTGTTCCACTGTGGCGGCTGGATCGGGATTAAGAGAACAACCCTAAGCTCCCGAAGGGACCCCTTTGGAAGACTTGGTTCCATCTACAGGATCGGCCTACCACGTTAGTCGGGAGTGTTGCTCCTTTTTGGAAAATCCCTCAGGAATTCGTTGCAGAAACCAAAGCCCGCCCGGGGCTGGGCGCCTGGGCCCCTGGGCCCCTGGGACCCTGGCTGTTCGTGGCCCAGGCCTGGCTGTTCGTGGCCCAGGCGATGGGCTTGCGTCGGACCAGCCGCGCAGGGGTCCCTTTAAAACAAAAGGGAAACAGCACTGGCCCAAGTCAGCTGGTGCTGGTTACGAGGCTTCAGAGATCCACCATGCCGCCAACCCACTTCTGTGCACCCTCGAGCCAGCGATGCATTGCCACAAGGTTTGGCCAATTTTGTCCAGTAGAACAAATCACAGCATATTGTTGCTGTTGCTTTCCATGTTTTTGCCACGGCTGGGCTAGCAAAACACCGGTCCAAACCCTTGTCGACTTCGAGGGGGGGGGTCCACGGTGCCTTGTTGCCCTCGGTGACTTGCTTCAGTTGCGTAGTGGATTCTGAATGACGTTTGTTTTTGTCTTCAGCATTGGCTGGGCTCAATCTGGGTACGGGACAAGTATGCCATTGGATCAAATATCAATGACTCGACTGGGTGCTGGCAACGCTCCAAACCTCCATGAGTGCCTTTCACACTACTGGCAGCGACTGACTGCATTGCCCTTTGCCGTGGTTGGCTGTTTCAGGCCGGCGAATTTGCCTTTTTTGCTTAGCACTCAGGTAGAGTAATCTTGTTGTATCAAGGGGTGCCAGCAGCTCATGAGGGCACATCAGCCTTACAGAAACACACCCACGCCACCCAAGTGACCACCGGAGTTTGTTGTCCTCCCAAACAGGTCGCGTCCCAGGGCTCGTTTCTCGCCGCTCGCGCGCGGGAAAAACGAGCCATGCCATGGGCTCCAAAGATGCCGCCCTGGCGGCGGTGGCGCTGGATGGCCTCGACTTGCGCCACTTCTTCCCCCTGCGCGGCGACAAGGCGCGCAGCGGTTTGGGGGCGGCGCGCAGGTGAGCTGGTGCAGATTCGCTCGTTCGGAGAGGGGAACGGGGCGAACGGTGAAAGCTGCGCCGCCCTGGGCCCTTCATGTTGAGCTTGCGTGTGGATCTGGGCAAACAGGAAACCAGGATGTTCTGTACAAGTAATCACGAGCAAGTGAACACCCGGGGCGCTGGGCGTCGCCCGATCTCATGCAATAGACATTTGTGTACATGCTGTGGGTCAGGAGTTGGTGCTCGCCGCGGTGCAGCACACGGGCATGGCCCTGTGCTATGCAGCCAAAGAGCTCCAGGAGGACAAGGAGGCGTATCCTTCTCAACTTTGGGCCGGCAGACGGGAGATCTACAGATGGGGGTGGTGCTTTTGGTTGACACCGTCAGGTTCTCTTGGACTTGGTTGGCTTGGTTTGGAGTGTGTGTGAGTGGCGCCTCTGGGCGACATATCAAAGACCCTCCATGCGGACCTGTACCTAGCCCACCTCCTTAAAAATCATGTGAGGGGGAGGGGTTGTACCCACAAAAAGGCCTTTCTCCCTAGAAACAACCTGACACTTGGCTCGGGCTTTGGCCAGGTGGTGCTAGCAGCGGTGGCTCAGCATTGGATGGCCTTGCAGCCCTTTGGCTGATTTGCAACGCTCGTGAGCTCGTTGCTTGCCGGTTTTCCGGGGCGAAGACGAGCGAGCCACGGCGTGAAACTTTGCTACATTTAAAAACAAAACAATATTATTGTGTATTAATGATTTGGCTATATTCCTTATTTAATATTTGCTCAAAGTTGAAAATGAAAAAAAAAAACAATATTTAAGCCAAAAGCCCAAACCAATCATGCCGAGACACTTGAGGCATCATCTTCAACTCATGAACGTCATTTTGTGGACCCGTCGGGGTAGCAGTTTTGCTTTGTGTTTAATCTGTTAGCTTCTCAAGAGCCCTGCTTTACTAAACTGTTTGTTTGCGCAATGCATTACATATACACGGTTGGCATATTAGTGGGCACATTGGTATGTTCTAGCTTGTTCAAGATCTGGTCCCCAATGATACGCGGATGACGGATTGCGCAGTTTTCGGCTTAGATTATGCGGATTGCGGCTTATCGGTTGCAAGGATGTTCCATGCGCCCGATATACGGTTTTGACCCAAAGTTTGCAGTGCCGGTTACGGAAGAATCATGTCCAGCCAAAACAAGGTCTAAACGGTACGGATTGCGATTTGTCAACGCACCTTAAAGAAGGTATGTTTTGTTTTATTTTGGGTTCCTTTCCTGCGATTAACAGCCAGGCAGTTGCCAATTTTCAGATGGTCATTTACCGCTTGTTTCTAGCGGTTGACTTCCCGTTCTTTTAGACCCTCGTTCTTTCCAAGCATCGTTCTTTCCAAGCAGGCTGTTGTCCCTGGCTTTGGTCTTCCAGAAGGATCCCTGAAAAGAATGGTGAAGTTGCCCCAGTTGGGGTGAAAGTAGATGGCACAATTCCCCCATTTGGGTTTACCATTGTTCATACTATCTGACCTTTCAAGGGGGCCGTGCCATCTACCTTTACTCAAATACCCCTTAGTCTGTGGTTTGGATTGGTGGTTTGGGGATTTGGACCCCTGGTTCTTGTAGGGCAAATGGGATTCCCCATCCAAACCACCAAACCACCATCCAAGCCACCAATTAGAGGGGCCGTCGATTTACCCCAGCAGCTTGTCAAATGTTTGACCCCTGCATTCGGGAGACCCCGCTAGAATACATGGGCGAGCCCATCTTAGATACGCCTCGGACGAGATGACGGAGGACAACGACGTGGTGCAGCTCGCAGTGTCTGCCAACGGCCTGGCCTTGAAGGAAGCAGGACACAGTTGGAAGCGGTTGAGTGGGAGGGGGGTGTTGAATGTTGTTTGGTTGTGTTATGCTGTGTTAGTACGAAACCACCTCAAAAGTGGTTGGTGGACATGAATTTCCTGGGATTTTGATGTCCATCAAAGGATCCCCAGCTACTGTAATTGTAAACGCTTAGCGCTGCCCGCCTCGGCCAAGCCAAGCACGCAGCGTCAGCAACGCGAAAGGAAGGAACAGCGCCGGCCAAGTGGCAATTCACAGGTGCGAGTCATGCCGGGCGAGCAGCTGGAACAAGCCTGTGGATGAGCCAGGGCAGGGCTTGGCCAGCTGGCAGGGCAGGGGACTTGGAGCAGCAGGGCCAAGCCAGGGATTCTTGACCTTTGTTGGGGTTGGGGAGCTTTGAAAATAGTCTGGAAGGGCTGTGACCGCTTCCCCGACCTGAGGGCCGAGGCGAATTTTCACACGCTGTAGGGCGAAAGGATTCCCCCCACAGGGCGCCAAAAGTGGACCATGCTCGATTCGTTTAGCCCAAGGGCTTTTGCATCATCGGGCTGGGTTCCGACAGAGTTCGGGTGTTGGGAATGAGCGGGGCTCATTCCATAAAGTCGCCTCCTCCAAATTGCCCTGCCCGCGCTTAGAGCAGCCACTTCAATATGATTGCCGCGCCGGTGAAGCAAATCTCTCATGGCATCCGAGCCAAAAGTGGCAATCGTTTCAATGGAAACACCGTCGGAGACCAGAAAACAGGTTCGACTTTGCAATCCAGTGCCCCCCAGCTGACAAGAACATGAAGCGGAGTTGTGACAGAACAAGCCGTGTAGACACGAGCTTTTGCAAACAGCCTAGTGCAAAACAACTTGGTGTTTAGGTGCTCCCAAGATTTCAGCCATTGGCTACCTCAGATGGCAATGTTGTTAATCAGCTGCCTGCTAGTTGCCAGGTGAACTTTCTTGCTGGGAGGGCGCCTTAGCCACATACCCACCCTCATGCGACAAGCGACTTCTGGCCATGGCCGCCATTAACATTTTTGCGGATTTGTGCGGCCTGAACTTAGTGCAGCCTGCAGATGGTTTCATAGTTGAAATCCTTAATGTGCCTCTCCCATTCCGAGAGCCAACCAAAACCCTCCTGCTAGCCATCAGCAATTGTCTACAGCATGGACGCCCTTTTTTTGGCGTCTGACCTCAGGAAACACCCCCTCGCAATTACGTGGTGTACCCACTTACCCCCTTGTCTTGTCAGGACCCCGAAGCAGGCCAGGCCATGAGAGAAAAGGGCGGGGAGTATTCTAGCTCTTCCGAAGTGCCACGAGTTGTTTGCAGGTTGGCGACATAGAGGGTAAAGCTTAGCTAAACCAGTTGCCAACTCTGCTGAGCTGCTAGGAGCCGCGGATTGATTGACGAATTGGACTTGGCTTGTGGTCATAGTGGAGATGCAAATCGCAATTGGGATTAGTCTTGGAGAAGCAGCATGGTATTGATTAAGCTGGGATGGCTTTGCCTCACAAGCGACGGCCCGTTGGGCCAGGCATGCACTTACAGTGCGGGTGAGACACGAGATTGCCACGCATACTGTGAAACTATTGAGCGGAGTTGATTGCCTAAACCAGAATTGTTTTTGGTGCATTGCATGGTGTTACTGAAGCGGAGGGAATGGCCCCCTGCAGGGGAATGCTTGTCCACGTCATGGAGGCCGTGAAGAACGACGGCCGCGCCCTCCAGTACGCCTCAGAAGATTTGCGGAAGGAGTCGGCGAGGGTGGCGGGTTTGGCTCCAGCGGCGTCATTTGGCGTCATAATCTATTGAACGCACGGTTTGGCGTTTGGCTGGTGGCTTGTGTGGTGCAGTGGGATCCGTTGTTGGCGACGGATGTAGGTGCAACTTTGTCCAGTAGTCCCAAAGATACACTGAACAGTTGCAAATGGCAAGGCCCCTGAGTCAAGATAACTGGTTTAGAATTGGTCGACGTTGGTGGTGTAGGGTTGGTTCGAAGTTGCTTTAGGATAGGGCAGCATCAGGAATGCGGGCCTCACAAAGACGATGCCGTGGACATGTGTAATGTAGCGAGCTATGGAAGTGTTCAACATGTGACATGGGTCAGCCGCAATAGGATCAAAGTGACCAACCTCTCCCATTGATTCGACTGGTCGCTTTTGAGGCAGCGTGGTTGACTCGCTTTGACCATCAAGTTTAGCGGGGAGCATCCTCCGAAACGGTTTGTGGGCATGAATCTGTCCTGAAGTTCAAAGCCATGTAACTTCTGAACGAGCAACAAAGAATCGGGCTGCAGGATCATTTGGTCGTCATGGAGGCACTGAAGTCGAACCCTGAGGCGGACGGATGGCCAAAGTTTGGCGCGTTTTTTTTTTTTTCTTTTTTTTTTTTTTTTCCGCAAATGAAAGGGTCATACAAACCGCGCCAAGAAGGTGTCCAAATGATATGGCCCCCCTTCCTTTTCGTGCGCAGTTTGAACCATGTGGTGGAGTTGCTTGGCGTGATGTTTGCGAGTGAGAGTGGACATGAAGTTACTGGAAGGCGTGTGGACCATGCACATCTAGAAGAGAACCTTGTGCCGGGTTCGCGCAGTGCCTTCGGGAATCGCAATGCAAGCGAACCTCAGTGCCTGCGCCTGCGCGCCTTCACGCGCGCGAACCGAAGCGGAGGCCCTAGAGTTTGCCCATGATGATGTCAAGGAGGTGCTGGAAGTCATTATGCCAGCTGCTTGGCTACCCAAGTTGTTGTTTTTTTTCCCTGGGCTTGGGTGGGGGGTTAAGTATTTTGTTGTTGTGCTTATTGTCGGGTTTACCTTTGTACTGTTGGTTGTTGCTGGTGCTGGTAGAGGCGGCGGAATGTCATTCAAGCGGTGTCCCTCACTTTTGGTTTGCTCATCTCAGGCTTTGCGCCGTGACGGTGCGGTCCTCCGATTCTTGCCGCACAGCATGCGAGACAGCAGCTCCGGCCGGAAAATTAGTTCGATCGGGGGACCCTGGGGTTTTTGAGGATCGGGAGGATCGGGGCCCCTCTTGGGGGGTTGGAAAACCGCAGTGTTGAGGGTAATGCTACTTGAGGGTAGTGGTACAATTCGCGGAGAGTGAAACTGGAGGTCCTCCTCTTCGCAATTTACCTGATCACAAGAGTTGTGTGGGGGTAGGGATGGCGAACAAAGCCACCGCTGGCTTCTGTTGAAAGCGGCTTGGCTTCGGAACAGACACCAACCCCCAACCCTTCCCTGAAAACCACTGGGATATTGCTTTGGGCAATTCATGTCCACCGCTTGACTTCGGCTGAGCAGGGTTCTCTCGAGCTATTCCTTTCCCTCCCGGACTGATGGGTTTCCTTCTTTTGTCGTCTTTCCGGTTGCTTGCATGTTCAAGCAACTAAGTAGGTTGCAACCGTAGTTGTAGCTAGGGTAACTCGGGTGGGTCCCCTCACAACTATGGCTATAAGCTACTCACTAAGTTGGTTGAGCATCCAAGCAGGAGAACCATGCCTTCCAAACCTGCTTCGGATGATTTTTTTCCTGGCAGGGGTTTGGCAGCGACGAACCATGGTTCACGCACCAGTGACGTTCAATGGGCAATGAGAACCTAAGCCTAGAAAAAAAAATATCCCTCGTTGAGTAACGCAAGATTCTAGAAGCGACACCTTACCTTTGGAGACCCCCCCATAATTATTCTCCAGGTTCAGCATTAGCCCACTGGCAGGGGGAGGCTTGCAGCAGTACCCAATGAATGCACTCTTTATAGAGGAGCCCTCGTTGAATGGCCAGTATGGGAGAGACTTTGAGGCGACTTTGGAAGGAAACATGCGGTCTGTCATTTTTTAAGGGTACCCCTATTTGGTTGGTTTGAAAGGGAAATCAAAAGGAAAGCCGAAGGGGGGTACAACCTTAAGCAAATACCACCATTTTGCGGGAATACCACCATTTTTGATTCATTTTGGGGGTGTCCACCCTAAAAATGCGCACCCATGTTCTTTCGGTCGTCCGACCGGGGCCTTTCTGCGACGGAGAGCCATGGGAGGCGACGGATTGAGCTGAGGCTGCGACGTGACCATGGACGCGGTGCAGACCTGCGGCCTCGCGGTGTCCTTCGCGACGGCCAAGGCTCGCTGGGGGGCGCCCTGGGGGGCGCGGACCTGGGCGGACCTGGGCGGACAGATGCGTCTCACATTTCGCCTGGTTGGCGCTGGAAAAAAGGGATTGGGTTGGGTAGCTTTTTGTGGTTTTGTAGGTACGCACCAGACGGGTTATTTCGAGAGCAAACTGTACCAGTTGGGTTTCCATTTGCAATTCGGGCCTTAGCACTGGGCCGCCTGCCCAGGGCTAAGGCGGCATCTGGCGCCAACAACGTGACATTGGCAAGCTGATCCGGACCACAACCAAGATCGGCAGTTTTTACCATGGCACGTGTGATTGGTTTTTCCTGCTCGCCGCGTGTGACGGAGGGTGACGCGAACTTTTATTCATGTTGGCCTTGAAGGTTCCATTTGTAACGGAGACCTGAATTGTGAGCTACTTCGATTGAAGCACCTGGAGAGTCCCGATGGTAACTCTTCAGCCCCTTGGATTCCGCTACCAATCGCCAGCTCCATGTGGCGCAGGTGAGGGCAGATCGGGAGGTCATGATGACAGCTGCGCGCAAGGAGCGGGATTTCCTGACAGATTTCTGAATGAGCAGGGTTGGCGATTCTGCCAGAGATCGACGGGAGGCGACGGCCAACTGCCAGTGGTGAACAGTACTAAGCCTAGGAAGATTTGGCAGGTTGGCCCAGAGGTGACACGCGGTGTCCTGAGCCATGGGAAGTTGGGTGCCTGGAGGCTTCACAATTCGGTTGCTTTGCAAGCACAAGTGGTTCAAGCTTCACGAGACACAACTAAGCACAACCATCCAACAAAAACCGTGTCGAGTTTTGACTTTGCCGTCTAGGACCTCCTGCCCCTGTGCCTGCTCACAATTTCAGATACCCTCGCTGGTTTGCAACTGAGAGGTGCCCCCCGTGGCGAAAATCGCTGGTGAGTCTCCAGGACGGCTTAGCACTGGCTTATGCCGTGCAAGAACTGCTGGATGATGAGGATTTGGTGGAGGCGGCGGCTTGCCGCAAGCGCTGTATGGCAATTGGGAAGCAGCCATTTAGCAGGGCTCCTTAAAAGATACATTTTGCCCACTTGAAATATGGCTTTTTCCACCCAAATACTGTAAGGGGAACCACAATTGACAAGGCAATGTTCAGGTGTATAATGTAAGGATCCCTTCATTTTGAACGGGAGCCTAACAACATGCCGCATGCGGTCAGGGCGCAGATGCCATGGATTCAAGACATGGTCACGCCGGCCCTGATGAGAGCTCGGCCTCGGCATGCTGTGTGAAAGGGAAAGCAACCAGGATACAGACGGGTTGGGCTTTGTGCGCAAGCCAATGGTCGAAATGTCCATGATTTCACACTACGGTTTCCAAGTCCTAGCAATTCACTTTTTCAATGGACTACAAGGCACGTTAGCGGCCCACATTGGTCACATACTCCTGCTGCTTTTCGGCAGCGGTTGCGCGCACATGCCGCGGGGTGGTGACACTTGTTTGTGTGCAGTGAGCCGGACGCATGGTCAAGCATGTTGTTCATTTGGGTTGCCGGATGAAAAGTGAGGAGTAGCTGATCATTGCCCCAAGTGGGTGTCAACCCAAGGGAGTATTGTTACGTGCAAGTGATTCTAGCCATCCGAATCCAGTTCATTCTCACGCCACCTCGAAGCTGTTTTACGGAGCAGGCGCCTGCCCGATGTTCTGCTTGCAAAGCTGCGAGCTGGGGTCGTGGCATCTGCCCTTTTAACGGCCAGCAAACACAGGAGATCTAGGAGGGTTCCTGAGGCGTATAGATGAGAACTCAATGTTATTGTAAATGACGGGACCACAAGAATAGTTGAAATAAAAAGAAGCGATTCCCCAGAACCCTTTTATTAAATACTGTGGATGGACGAAATTATGCACCGCTTTGAAACCATAAGATTTTTTTGCTGGTTGGTATTTACAGGCAAATCATCAATTCATGGTTTGCCAGGTGGTGCAGGATTTCGCAACCATCCACAGTACTTTTAAGATTGCCGGACCAGGCAGACACTGAAACCCATGTTTTGAATTAAATGAGTGAAACATAGTGAAATAGTTTGAATCAACATAGTGAATGAACTATTTAGTGAATCAAAATTGTGAATTGGGAACATGGATTTGCAGTTTGTGACTTCAATTAGTGAATTGAGAATGTGGGTTTCCAGGTTTGTGAATTGAGCAAAGGAGCCAATTGGTCTTTGCATTTGTGATAAGAGGGCCTGCCAGCGGCTTCCCCAACAGGCGGGGCGAGCATTCGCTAATTTATTTCACTAATTTGAATAGCAACAGTTTGCCGATTTGTGGAAATTGAACCTCTAAAATTCATTAGATTTCACTATTTCAATTCACTAAATTTCACTAATTTTCGCTAAATCAAATTAATGAAACTTGGTGATTTAGTGAAATTTAGTGAACTTTAGTGAATTTTAGTGAAATTTAGCGAAATGTTTAAAAGAGTTTCACTAAAATTCACTAAATTTCACTAAATTTCACTAAATTTCTAAATTTCGCAAGCCCAATTTAGTGAAAGTTAGTGAAAATTAATGAAAGATAGTGAAATTTGATGAAATTTTGTGAAATTTAGTGAATCTCTTTTTCTAAAATTTCATTGAATGTCATAAATTTCTCCAAATTTCACTAAATTTCACGAATTCTCACTAAATTGGACTTGCGGAATTTAGTGAAAATTAGTGAAAATGAGTGAAAGTTAGTGAAAGTTAGTGAAATTGAGTGAAATTGAGTGAAATTTAGTGAAATGTAATGCAGGTTAGTGATTTTTGCTTTTTCCATTTGAAAAGACTGCAATCTTGAGCAAACAAATAGTGAACAAAATAGTGAATGGAATTAGTGAAAATTAGTGAATTGGCACTTCTGGAAATTGCGGGCGCTGCGTTGGGCAGACTTGGGGCCAATCGAGTTGAGGGCTTCCCTTTAGCATGTAAACATTGTTTCGCTTTGCTTTGCTAAGCCTAAGGGCCTAAGCTTTAGCACAACTCACCTGGACCTAGTCACCTCGCCATGTAGGCGTATGTCCATTCACTATTCCCATTCACTATTTCCATTCGCAATTGTTTTAATTCACTATTCCCATTCACTATTTCATTTGCTAATATTCACTAAATAATTATTTTGATGTTTCCAATCTCTACCTCCCAGCGGCAATCTTAACAGTACTTCCTTGTGAGCAACTGCTCTTGAGCGCATTTTATGGGCCTGCGCAATCTCGATGCGCAGGCGGCGTGCGAAGAGAATGCCTTGGCCCTGCAGTATGCGTCGGACCGCTGGCGCAGCGACAAGGAGTGATGTGGCTGTGGTTCAAAACCAATGGTACCATTTTGGGGGTTTTCGGTACGCCACTCATTTTAGAACCTATTTAAGTGGGGATTGGGATGTTCACTGGGGGTACGATTTGGGTTTTGACGTTGATGACCCCGCCACCGGGACTCGGTCATTCCCTACCTATCGCATCAGCAAGAAGATCGAGTCCCAACAAAGTGGTCGAATGCTGAACAAGATTCCGTACTGTGGATGGTTGCGAAATCCGTTCGCAGCACGGATGTTTGGAGACAGGATGTAACAGCTGCTTTGAGCATCGGAGCAGGGTGTAGCTCCAAAGTATGTCGGAAAGGCCAGCCGGCCTTTGTCATGACGCCATGTTATCACGATCACTTCAGTTTTCAAAGCCAAGAAGTGGGCGAGAGGGTGCGGGCTTTATGCTCTTTATTTGCTTTCTATCTGGTGCGTAATGCCGCTTCAGCCGCCTTTTTTTTGGGCGACGGCAACTTATGAGGGGTGCCTTGCACCTGTAGACCCCCACACCTTCGGGCCAGGACTTTGTGAAGACTGTGCTGGGGCGAGATGGTCGGGCGCTGGAGTTTGTCTCTGGAGGAGCCGGTCCCAGGATTGCTAGGCCCCCCAATGCTTTTTGGGGGGCTCCAACCTTAAACAAGACACCCACATAATCCCAGATTGACCTAATTGTTGCATGTTCGTTTCTGGTGGCCCAACCAAGGCACCCATATTGACTGAATCATTTCGGCAGAAATATCGCCTAGGGCCGTTGGTGGCTTTTGCCGGGCCCGAGCTGAAAACCTCCAGGCCTCTCAGATGACTTCGAGCTGTGCATGGAGGCGGTGAATGAAACCGGAGAAGCCTTGATCCATTGCTCCGCCGCCTTACGCCCGGGGGCCAAAAGCCGAAAGTCGAAACGGGGAGATCCAGGTTGAACGGGTCCAGTCCACCCGTAAATCCACTTGCGTGTTTCTTTTTTTTGAAGGCTCGTTGCTTTTGCTTTTCAAAGGAAAGCTATAAAGGAGAACCACAATAAAGGAGAACCAGAGTTTTGGGGGTCCCCTAAGAAGGATACAAGAACTTGCGTTCCCGCTTTGCCCAAGAACGAGATCGATTCAAGGGAATACTATTTTCTACTGGGGCCACCGGGCAACTGGGGAGCGGAATGTTCATGTTTGGTGTGGCGCGGCTACGCTGCGCAGAACGGAACGAAGCTTTAAAAGTGGGAAAGCCTTGGGAGATATCAAAATTCCCGACCTCGCGATTTAGAACCTGAGGCATGACAAGTCACTATTATGACACATGCAGCACTCATAGGGACTATCAGGTTGCGCCACGCCAGTGGCAGCACGCCCAGGCGACAACGAGGACATTTGCAGAATGGCGCTGCATAATGATGGACTGCAGCTTCTGCCCCTTGGGCAAGGGCGGGTGCTGAAAGAACCTAAACTCAGACCCATGGAGGTGGTAGACTAGCAAAAGGTATCTGGTATTTAGAATAAGTGCACATTTTGGATGATCCCTTCCCGACTGAGAACAAAAAGGGTGGAGACATGTGGAGACCTCTCATGTGTCACCCAATGAAGGTATGTTGCAAGCCAATCCAGCCGGTGTTGCCAGACTTTTTGCCGGCGCAGCCCGCCTTTTTCTTGTTTTTGCAGCATGGTGTTCAGCTTCGTCGCTGCGAGCATGATAAGCAAAACGACATGTTGCCAGGCATATGTTTCCTAAAATGAGGATTCGCTGCACATGCTGCACCACAGTGGAATTTCAGTTGTGCTCTTTATTCGAGAGGCAAGGCTTTGAGAATTAAGAATCATGTCATACGAGAGTACATTGCTGCAGCATGTGTATAACACACTGGTGTGTGGCTCGGTATGATGACACTCAGGACATGTGGAGTGCACAGGCATTTGCATGTTCAGGTATTTGCTAGCAGCTTGGCGCTGTGTTGGTTACTCGTGAGGAGGGCAGAGGCTACAGGAGCGATTTGATCCGACGATGTCGCAAGGTGAGTACTTTTATGATGACATTTGCATCCAGGGAGTACGATTGCTTGTAGGTCGTGCACACTTGTATATTTGACTGGCGGGACTTCAATTCAACACTCGCATTGTTCCCAAACATGCACTTCCGAAAGACTGAACAGCGCATCAACGGCACTCATGGACTTAGCAGTGTCGTTTTGGGTGTCGACCTGGAATTATATCACATCCGAAAGAGTTGCTTCAGGGAGACACAATAGAAGGGCCCCAGGTCACGTATGTCGCTTCGAAAGATCCCTAACCCCCCCCCCCCCCCCTGCAAACTCGTCTGCTTAGAGCTTTTCATTGCAAGGGATTGCAAGGAAACGTTTCAAGGGTGTAGCCCTGCATTTGGGCTGATGGCATGCAAATCCTTCCATTTGCCTAAGAATATTAACACCCGTGGTCCATATCCTGATAATTCTATTTTGACCCATACCCACGTCAGTTTGGTCGCAGAAAACGTACCCGGCACTTTGAGTTAGCCATTCGCCAGTGCAATTGCATTTGTTAAAAGAGATAGGGCTTCAACATAGCTGTCTTGGCCGAATGTTGCTTTTAAACAGCTAGGCCGTGATCCCATTTGAAGGCCACGCCAAAACATTGTTGTTTGGTAGTTTGAATCATTTTGAACAATCAGCATGTGATCCCCAATGATTTCAACATGTGATACTCCTAGAAAATGGTTTGGATGCGGCATTTGTGGATCACCCTAGGATGTCGAAAGAGCACCAACATATTACAAAACAGGACCAACAGGGGGAAGAACTGGTGAATTTCACAAAAAGCGCATCGAAACAGTTTCTACAAATACTATCCTCCCACCAATGAACATGTATATTTTCCTGTTAAAGGGCCCATTTTTTTTTCGAAGGTCAGGTTCCATATTAAAAGGGTGGGAGGGTATACTCCAGTAGTTACCCTTCATCCAACTAACATGGCACCCGCGGGAGGGTACCTGGAAGATAAGCTTCCTCTTGGAAATCCCGCTTCTAGAACCCCCCTGTGAAATGCCATGCTAGTGGGAGAGAGGGTACATGCATAGGCGTCCTTCTTGGGTTACTTTGAAATAGATGGGTCCCACTGGTTTAGATGGGATTCGCATTTGCCAGGGAAACCCATCGATTTTTCCCAAAGGCCACCTATGGGTCCATGTTTAAACCAAAACAGTTGGCTTCGCGCCTCTCAGGAACGTGTCCCCGCGGCTGCGGCAGGACCGAGAGCTTGCACTGCTGGCCGTGAGCAACTTGGGCGCGATGGGAGGGACTGCCTTGTTTAGGTGCAGCCTGAAGGAAAGCGGTGCACTTGTTTAAAAGACTGAGGCCTAAAGGACAACCACTATTTTAGGGGTGGACATCTGTATCAAACGGAGCTGAGGTTCAACTACCTGCAGACCCTGCCGTGTTTTTCACTGACTAGGTTTTGGAAGGCTAGCCTTTGGGGAAGAACACTGGCACCCACTTCCTGTGGCGTCTGGGATGGACCACCCACCAACTTGTGCAGGATTTCGGCCATCAGTATCACTACTTAAAGGGGCAATCTGAGATGTCTGGTACTTAGTGGGCAATACACATGGAAAAGCCAAAACTAAAAAATGCCATGGTTATACAATGCGAGCGCGGTGTTGGGGCTGGATTTCTTAGCCGATTTCTTAATCTTGGCTGCTGAGAAATTCAGGGGCTAAATCTCTTAGCGGGTGATGAAGGACTCCTTTGCTAAGATATTCATTTGCCCGATTTCTTAGCTGCCATTTTGGGTGATGCATGACTCCCCCTGCTAAGAAATTCAGGCCCTATCAGGGAAGTGCGCGCTAAGCAATCCAACGGCTCAAATTCAACACGCAAAATGCTTGGCGAATGAACTGGGCAAAAACCACGGTTATAACCCACTTACCATGGTCACAAGTCTCCAAAGTGGGCTAGAAGCATGGTTGTGACCCACCTTAAGTAGTGGTAAAACAACACTTCCGTTGGCTTCTCTTTTAGTGCGATGGATTTCTTCCCGTGAATGCACGCCATGTTGGTTGTGAGTGGCGTCCGCGCCATAGGTCTAGGATCCAATTTGCGCCCGGGATCCGCAGCCGAGCTTTTTTGTTTTTACCAGGGATGCCATGCAGGTTGCGCTTCTCAACTCACAAAACCTGTGATCACGGTAGCTTGTTTGTTCAGTTGTTCAGCTCCAAGCTGGCTGAAAATGTTCAGTTCATCACGGTAGCTTGTTCGATCTTATCTATGTGGGGTTGTTCAGATGTTCAGCTCCAAGCCGGTTGGCTTGCTGAAATTTTTCAGTTGCGGCTGAGCCACCCGGAGAGGGTGCTGAGCCACGTCCAGCGAGAGCCGCTGGGCTGCTGGCAGTCGCCATGGGCGACGGGATGGAAACGGAGGGCGAGGCGGCCTCCCGAGCGAGAGAAACGGTTTGGGTGGCCTACGGAGTTCAACCCCCCATCGTTAAAGAATGCAAGGTGGCTCCCAGCGGATTTTCCGGTTCCTTGGCTATTTAGTTTTTTTTTTTTTTAATAGTTGGTTAGTGGTAGTTTCCATGTAACCCACTAAAAGTGAAACTTTGAGCGGGGGATCTGAGGGCAGCTCAGAATGGTTGACACGATTTAGATGATGACAAGCCTTAGGCAAGCAATGAGTATTATGAACCTCCATTGAACTGCATTGCTTTGGTTTGAATCCCGGGAGAACGTTTTGGGGGCAAGTGTTCCATTGTCAAGTCCCATACGCTCGCCTCGCGCCTCGCAGACCGGGGGAGGGAGCCTGCGTGCCTTCGGGAACACGGAAACATGACTCCCTCCTCTATCCCCCAACCGCCGGAAGGCCGGTATCGCAGCCCCAAGTCTAACGATAGTATATCCCTGTGCGCAGGTGGGGCCGGCCGAGAAGAAATGTCTCCCCGAGGCGCGCACGCGTGCATTTGAGTCTGCTTGGAGTCGCTGCCAGCAAACCGCCCCCACTCACTTCCTGAGTTGGACTTCATACTTGTTGGGAAGACTATTTTAGTGGTAAACCCAAAGTGCAAACTTTGTCAAGTGAGCCCAAGCATACTGTAGCACCAGAATGGGGCTAAGGAAGGCAATGTTCACGCACGTGGGCTTTGATGGCCTTGCCTTTGCAAATGAAGAGGCTCCACCCTTGCTGATGGGCCCGTTCGTTAGGAGTCGGGCATATCATGTTGAAGGAGTTCGGGCCACTTACTGAGGAGTGTTATTGTAATTGTAGGTCAAGCGCCATGAGTGTGCCTTTGCGTTTTGCTTGATTGGTTCATGGTAGATAAGTAAGTGCAGTCATCAGATTGAAAAGCGGTTTGGCATGATAAGCGGAAGCAATTTGGTCCGGTACCCTGTTCTCGACAATCCCGGAAGTGGAAAGTGGGCAGGCCCTCTGCGGATGCTCCCGCCGTTTTGCTTTCAGTTGCTGTTGTGGGAAGGAGGGCGCGTGAAACAGGGCCCTCTCAACAAAAAGCCAAAGTCGCGGTTTTATACAAATGAGCTTTACATGAATTTGATTATTGTTGGATGATTTTTTGAACCACCAGCCCAGTGGAGCTTTGCTAGGGAAAATCCCAGCGACTGTGAAACGACAACCCAGAAAAAGTTCACCTTTGGCCATCGGGACCCTGCGAAGCCTCGAGCAACAGGAGCCTCACAACGACATCGCAGAGCGATACATGGCGAGCCTTGGCATTCATTGTTTTTTAGGCGAAGGTGCCAAGACGCACACTTCACACCGCACTTAGATCTTACAGATGTTGGAAATTGTTTGTGACCGCACGCTGCCTCGTGCCATCGGCCCACACTCAGGAATCTAAGAGATGTAGAGCAGCCTGCTCCTCAGTTCCACCTTGGCGCGTTCCACCCCGTGTAATGTCACGACATGATAGCTCCAAACTGCCACCTGAATGACATCGTACTTGCCCATTGTGTTGCGAGACAGGGGGCGAAGGCAGGTCAGGTACACCAAGCGAGGTACAAGCATTAAGTTACGCCCGACTGTATCAAGAGCCTATAGAGTTAAGGGGCCAAGACTTTCAGCGGCCTGTTTTGCCACTGGCTCAAGTGGAAAGGCACTGGGCGCACCATGGAGTTGCCTGTGCCGTTGACCTCGAGTCACGCGCCCCTGGCGCTTTTCACGCGGCCAAAGGCGCTGCGGCCAGAGTCAGAGAGGCCGAGGCGCCATGCCGCGCGCCTTGGGTGGTGCGGGGCGCTGCTGCCAGTGCTGGCGGCGACGAAAAGAAGACGAGGGCTGGGCCGAGGCGCGTGCGACCTGGGAGAAAGGTCATAGAAAAGTTAGCTTGAGCCGCAATCTGCTTTCGGTGTCATCCTATGGAGTTTGCACAGGCACCTGGTGTGTTTCTTGGGGAGACCTTTGTTTTCAGTTTTCAGAGTTGCCGCCGCTTTTTTGCACTCTTTTTGAAGGCCATCTGGATTCCTTGGTTTGCGGTTGTTTCCTGCCCAAAGGCTTCCGGGGCTTTCAATGGAAGATCCAGACCCCTCGTTTGGACACAGAGCTGTTTGGGGGTCTCAAAGCATCGCTATTTGAGGGCCCCAAATCAATGTTGAACGTTTGCATAGGGGGTACGGCTTGGCCAAATGTGATTTGAACAGCCCAAATCCGTAGGAGCGCTGCCCACTGCTTCCGTCTTGGAGGATACCTTGTTCCAGGCCTATCGGAGCTGTCTGGACAGCTTCAGTTCGTCCCCGAGCTCTGCACAGTGGTCAGTGGAGGAGGAAGACGAGATTGATGACGCGGCGCCTTGTCCGTGATCACCAGCTGTTTTTTCCTGGTTTGCCGATTTGTTGTCCAGGTTTCAGTGCGGACATGCTGTCATGTGCCTCTACGAAATTGCTTTGTCCTTGATGGTGTCCTTGGGGAAGCAAGTCTTGAACTACTTACCGTTCAAGGACGTGAAGGGGCCGATAACTACGAGCCCCTGCAGCCACAGCAAGCTTCACGAGCTCTGTTTGTAGTGTCGAAAGCTGTCGTTCTTGTGGTGTCAGGTTTCTTCGATACACATGCGAGGGGATCTCTTTTCGGGGTGCCCTTTTGTTTTTGTTACTTTGCAGAAAGTTTGCATGTCTGGACGGATCCCTGGCTTGGTGGAGCGCCAGTCATGCCCATTCCAAGTGAATAGATGATTTATTTTTCGTGGGGATTTTAGGGGGGAACTGGGCACTGGGAACTGGTCTCATGGGGTAGAAGCCATTATGGAAATTCTTTAGCATGCAGGATCTCAGGCAACCTAGGGGGCTTGGATTGGATTGGGGATTTGAGCCTTGGCAAAAGCGCCACACCTAGGGGAAGCTCAGGTCCTGTACAGCCGCTTTCGGGCGGAGAACCTGCCAGCGCGGCAGGGCCGTTTGGTAGGCAACACGTTGCGGAGGACCTTGCTACGGCAGGACGGGCTTGGGGTTCGGGGCCTGAAAGGGGCGATCGATTCGGTACAGGTGACTTTCTTTCCCTGCGGTTAGAGGTCTGCTAAGTGGGCTTCTAACCAGGCTTACTAACCACCTAAGTATCCTGCTTTGAGTAGGGGATGTCAGGATGTCCTTGACAGGGCAACGGGGCAGTTGCCTTGCTGGCCCTTTCGGTTGTCCGGCTGGTGCTTTGTCTTGCGAGGGATTTGTGCCGGCTCCTGAAATGACCATTCTGAGCTGTTCTGCCATATGAACCGGGGGCAAGGCTTTGCCCATTTCTGCGGACCGCAGGGTGAGTCTCAGCTGGCCGTTTGGCAGCACAGGGTTTTTTGTCCAGTCGGCAACGTGCAATGGCAACTTCTTGCAGCGCTGTACTCTATGATGCTGTCCTTAACACGTGCCGCCAGCCGGACGTAGGGCTGAAATCCCAATCTCTTGCGAAGGGCAAATCGCGAGCTGACGCCAAGATTTCAACCTTAGGAAGAAGGGGGTGGGCGGTCGCCCAAGCAACCATGTTTCCTTGGACAGGGGCCATTCAATGTCCAACTTGTCTTGTTGGTGCCTAGTAGGGAATGAGGGAATAAGCCTCATAACCGTTTTTTGTGGAGTCCTGTGAGGGAATCCCCAGGCTCATTCCCTCATCCCCTACCTATCGCGCCAGCAAGTTGTTTGGACTTCCAACCTGTTCGCAGGTCCATGGCCCTTTCGTGAGAAAGCGGTAAGCTCTGACTATGCAACTTTCGACTTGAAATCGAGCTTCGACGGCGGTAAGCAGGCAATGGTGTTTCCAGGATCCTAAATGGTTTCTGCAAAGTGACGTAAA